AATTGGTACCTACATGCTAACTACATGTACTTGCTGTATCATACCTTTTTATACCATGAATCCCATTCAATGTGTATTTGGGTGTCCAGGGTGTTGAAACTGTAACTTTCATACTCTCTGATCACTACATTTTTCAATTCCCCATTCTCCACCTGTACTATACCGGCAGTGCACTGTTGTCTTTGCCTGTGGTTGACGTGTGATGTGTCATGCCTTGTGCGTACTCTAACGTGTGTGTTGTGTGCCTCTGCTCGCTGTCGTGTGGACGTGCAGTTAGGCAAAACTCGGCAGGCCAGGCTGGGACTATGGCGGATGCAGGTACGTCGTCCACGCTTGCAAATACCATGCTAGTTTCAGTCTCAAAGTCTGGAAAACCTTACCTAAACTCTATCACAACTTTTGTTTATTATTCAAAGACTTGTACCAAAAAAAAAGTTCACCCAAATTCAAACTGCATGGTTCTCACTTTATCTTTCCGCCTTAAAGTTTGTTTTTTTCCAAAACGGATTTTACACAAAACCTTTGTTCCTACCTAGGGCACTTTTCTTTTCATTCTACACATTATACCAAATTTGCTCGCGATGTAGACGAATGTTAATAATTATACAAAATTAAGTTTCCGATTCATTTGGATGCCTGCCCCCGAATCCTGTGCTTGCTTCTGTCATACCAACTTTGTTTCACGTGTCGACCAGTCCAGATGGCCCTCACGTTGGGCTTCTGGACATGAGACATCCTCACATTTGCATGGGATCCCATCCTGTATACCATGAGCATGACGTATCTTCTATACCTTCTACCTCCAATCTCTGTTCTCTGGATTGTTCTGTCAGACAATCCTGTGCTAGTGTCTTGTTCTCTGGATCACTCCAGTTGTTAGTGTGTCGTCATAGTGACATAGTAACTTGGATCGAATAATGGACACCTTTGATTTTGTTGTAACATCGCACACACTTATTGAACCTTTCACAAGGTTTATTCATTGTGCATGAACATTTGTAGGTTATATCTTATGTGCTATTAATGTTGGACTATAGAAACATAGCTCATAAGAAATGTGCAGCATTGGCAGGGCTTCAAAATATCAATTAAATTGTTTGGATGGGATGTCTTGTTAAATTGCTTAACTCTTAAGGGACTTTGACTTAAAGTTCACAAGGCTTGTTTCAGAAACATCAGAAATTGTCATGGCTAAAATCACAATCCCAAAAATATGAAAATGCTATGCTAGACAGTGTTGAGACCCAACAATAGCCATGAAGAACATGTGAAGGGTATAGTATTACGCAGATGTCTAGAGGTGACAAGAGTCTACATTTGTGTATCTAACAAACAAGACATCCTTACCAATTTATAGTCCAGCTTGGGAATTCCTCAGAGCTGATGTACATGTATGAATGTACTCAGATGTAAATATATCTACATACCAACATTACTGAAGTGATAGTGTACACACATTTGCATACATACACACATACACACATGTACCATTGGAAAAACTACTATCCATTCAAACCTTACATAAAAAATACATCTGATATATACAAAATGTATGGGAAGAATGTTTCAGGAATGTACATTTTGTACCTACATGTATGATGTCTTTGACTGAATGAACCATCTGTTGACCCATACATTGTACATGTACATTCATGTACATTCCAACAATGGCCCTACATACACCATTTTTCAAACTAAGGGTCATGCCAAGCATTATGTAAATCGGAATGTTGTATTTTGTCACCTGAATATGTACTACATGTACTTGTACGTACAATTGTATGTAACAGTGTGATTTGTCTAATTCAAATTCTGGATTGAGTCATGAAAATCATATGTTTCAAGTATGTATCTTAATCTGCTGTAAATTTGCCATTCCTCTAGTTTTGACTTGAAGACGCTAGATCTATCACATATCAGTTACATCAGGCTATACTAAGTACCAAATTATTGTTTATTTGTTGATGATATGAAAGCAAAATCATTTTCTAAGAGAGAATGTAATGTTCCAGACAACAGGAGTCACATTTTTTTCCAAAGACAAAGAAATAAGAGTGAAAAAAGGTGCATATTTTGGCTCAAACGGTAAGATGAGAAAGAGGGGAATGTATTCTTTTCTATTGCAGAAAGAATAAGTATTGGTACACCTTTTTGCTAGGCTTGTACCAGGTTTGGACCAGAATAATTTCTAGTGTGATGCTGATTTCTGTAAAGTTGAAACACACATGAATGGACTAATGTAGAAGAGAATTGATAACACTTAACAATTGATAGTAGATGATAATATAGACCACACAAATATGACATATGGATGACATTTGCATGGTCTTGAAAAGTACCACATTCCTAGACCAGGACTGTAGTTACTGTTGTATAGTCGAAAATTTGGGTAAGTCCCAATTTCTTCTGTTAGAAATTACAGTTATGCTTGCTTCATAATGCAAAATAATTATGTCATAATTCTTAAAACGTCCATTGCAGTATTACCAGTATATTGTACAATGTAATCATCATGAAAACGTTTGGTCACAAATATTGGCTAATATTTATATTCTCACACCAGATTTCTTATGCTACTGTCATCCATAACAACACATTTGTGTGGTCACACTTCGAACACCACAATGTCTAATGTATATAATATACATGAAATGAGTGTAATGTTGGAGACCAGGCAGTGAATATCCCCATGTTGTCCTGTAGGTAAAAGCCTGCTGTCCAAGAAGACAGACGCCAAGGTTTGTACAGGTCAAGCTCTGACAGCTGACAACTCCACCTCGTCTCCTGCATGCCTCTCCATCCCTTCCCCTTCAAAAAAAACCAAACGCTCATACCCGGTAATTTTGCCTTAAAACACTGGTCTCTTTAAAGTAAAGGGAATTAAGGAAAATACTGCCCAATGCTTTTAAACTCCAAAATTTTTTCAGGTAGAGCTTACCTTTTTGACAAAGTATATTGGGAATTAAGGAAAATCTTAAGAGCTTTTGAACCCAATTTTTTTTTCCGGTAGATCGTCCTTTTTTGCCAAAGTCTTAAGCTCACTGGATGCTGCCCACTCTTAAGAGCTTTTTAAAAAAATGTTAGCTTGGCAACTCTAACAGTTGTTATAATTATAAACTGTATATCCTATGTTTCACCAACCAGATGAAATTATTTTTGGACCTTAAGCGAACTGCACAAGATTCTTCTTGATTTTTTTTTTTAATTTTCAACAAATTTTGAAATCAAATTGCTGAAGAATTGCAATGTAACAGTGCAGGGAAGCTTGTTTTGTCAGCTGCCATGTAATATCCAGCTCCAACATGATATGTACTTGAAATGTAGCACATGGCTCAGCGAGTTTAAAGTGACCAGTGTTATGTATTGTGTGATCATTGAATCTTCATGCTGTGTTGCCTGTACCATTTGTGAATTATTATATTTTGCATACATTTTGACCAATATTTGTTTTTATTGTGCTTGTGTGATTGAAACATACTTTCATGCATCTTCTTTGAATCTGCATCTTGGTTATTATTTTCCATGCGTAGACAAAATTTTTGCATGCCGTTGAAAAGCAACAGTTCAACATCCTAATTCCCTACTCATCATTATTGATATCTTCCCCCATCTTCCCTGGTGTGTAGCATGGGTGACCCTTGACCTATGACCCCCCGTAGATTGACCTGCATGACCTTTGACCTGGCTAGAAGGAAATGTAATCTGTTCGCTTGCTTGGACTGAATTGCTTTCCGACTGTGTAACCCGATCTATAGTAGAGCTTCAAAAAAAAAGTAACGTTAACAACTTACTATATATATATAATAACCCAAAACGGAACTTTTTTTCTTTCTTTTTCCTCCCTTGGCTGGTTTCTGTCAATATCCCCGTTGCCATGGTAACAGAGGAGGAGTGTACAGTCACTGGTGAGATTTCTGTTTTCCAGTCGCATGCCCTCTGCTCGACTCTCTCTCTCTCTCTCTTTCTCTCTCACTCTCTCCGCAGCGTAGCTGTAGCTAGCCTCTTCTTAACACTTATAGTCTGGCTCTCCCAAATAACCCTGACAAAAACAGACTCCAAACACCAAATAGCTTTTTTTATCTAACAGTTGATGATTGATTCTTGGCAACGTGTGAAACGATTTGAATTGAATTTTGCTTATTAAATGTTCTTACTAACGTTTGATTGATGATTGCAACAACTTGGGATCAGCCTGTGACTAGATGACCTACAGACTGGCCCTGCAGACATTTCTTGCCTTCCCCCTCAAATTATGTCTGGAATTTTGTATCCAAAAAGCTAATCGTTAGTCCAATATTTGGGGGGCAGTTTTTCATGTCCATTGCTGATTTTGCTGTGCACTTTTGTTGGAGTGGGAAAAGCATTGAGTAAATGCTATCACTTACACAGATGTCTGCCTGGCTCTTCAGTCAAGTTGAGCCCATCAAAAAGAAAGAGCTACTTTATTTCTGAGTTCACTGGTTTTGAAATGTTTGTTGGGTAGTTTATCAGGTCACCTCCTTCACAACATTGTCTTCACAATTCACACAGCAGTTGCTGTATCAGTTACAGACTTACATTACAGTGATTATTACGAAAATTTATGCTCAAAAATACTATGGTAAGGGAAAACCTTCTGCACTTTCTAAAAGAGATATTTAGTTCCTGGTAGCAGCAACTGTTGAACTGTCCCTGGGTTTCTGAGCGATGTCAGAACTGTCCTATAACCCGTATCTACCTCATAAAGACAAAGCAACTTGTCTCTTTGCACAAGAGAAGTCAACTTTGTTGTTGTTCTTGTTTGCCAAAGAAGTTTGGAAAAGGCCCTTTTTTTATAACAATGCAATTACATGTATGCAACAGTGAAATTGTTCAAATTACAAACTAGCCTGGTATCGTAGCATTTGGGGCTATCATATTGGATGCCTAGGCCTGTTTTTGCCCTGTCCCCTTGTTTTCACAAAAATCTGAGAAACAATCTATGAAATTAGCGTGGCCTAACTATCTCAAATCGTGACTAAAAATAACAACACCTTTCTGTAGTAAATACGGGTTATGAGACAGCTACAGGTAACCTGAGAAGCCCAGGGACACCCTAATTGTGAAGACATCCGTGTGTAGCACTAGAGTAGAGTAGACTAGCCGGCCTAACCACCTTCCTGAGTGTGCTCCTCAGCGTTTGCCGTGATTAAACCGTTTTTTGCCTTGTGGTTTGTCGTTTCTTTAAACAGGCAGATGGAAATTCAACATCGTCAATTTCTAGTGTAACGTTAATGCAGGTAGGATTGCTGTAGTTGTAGAGCTGACTAGAAGTGCACTGCCCTTCCTGTAACGCCTCATGTTTGTAAGCAAAAGGCTGGATACTCGTGTATTATACATTTATATTATATATTACTGTTACTGACATGTCTCTGTTTATTATATGTGATGAGTTGTTTGTTTGCATCTACGTACCTGCGTAGAGTAGGAAGGCAAAGAACAGATTACATTTTCAACTGCCTTACATTCTGTAGATGTGTGTATTATTATGATTATTATTATTATTATTGCTGCAGTCTCAGCATTTCAGTGTGTAGAGCACAGGGTTTCCTACATGTGCATTTTCTATTTCCGTTGATAAAAAAATGCTTGAAGAGTACAATTGAAATTGCCAAATTTGCAAAGTAGCCTCTTGTGCAAATCTAACATAAACTATGGTTGGTTGTGCGCATTTATTTGTATGCAAGAGTTTTTTTTGCTTAGCCTTTGTACATATGTAAGAAAAAGTGAAGCGTTGATTTGGACTCAGCAGACAGTGTCATATATATATGTACATACAATACGTCACAGTGGCATAATCTTGAGCCAGTTCCAATGTTGGCCATTCATACAGAAAGTCTACTACTTTGAAATACTAAAGGAATTGTATATTGTATCATATTTAGCTATGACATGATTTGGCTATGATGATTAAAAGCTTGGTACATTTTACAACCAGCATTGTAGGAAACCCTGGCTAAGTCTATGACAAGCTGCAGTTTTTAAAATGTGCTGCCTAATAAGCTTTGCATAGATCTAAACCCTAACTACAGAAGATTGCTATTGGCTTGTGTTTTGACAAAAATTCATCTTGGTTCGAAATTATCAGTTTTAACGTCGTTTTTAGAGGTTGGAAATCTCAATGTAAAAAATGTTCTGAACATTTCATTGTGCATCAGTGATTCACCATGCCCCTCTGTCTCTTCATATATCAAAATTTATCATGAGAGATGTATTAATTGTATTTTTAGAAAGCAAATTGTTAAAAGTTTCGGCTGGCAAAAGTCACATACTTTATACATGCAGCAGGTCAAAAAGTCAATTTGTAGCAAAGATTTCTCATTCTCTCACTGGCCCGCTGTATTGTATGTTTCAAGTATCAACCATGGCATACCGGACTGTGTTCCTTGCTTCTTGCTGTGTTAGTGCTGGTCAGCCAATCAGATGCCCGTCTACTATTAGAGAGAAAGTTACCAGCCAATCACATCGTGCTTTGGCCACAGGTGGCATTGTGATTGGCTGGTGACCATCAGCCAATCGGATGCTCCCCCTGCTGTTTTTAGAGAGAAAGTTACCAGCCAATCACATCGTGTTTTGACGATATTTGGTGATGTGATTGGCTGGTGACCATCAGCCAATCAGATGCTCCCCCTGCTGTTATTGGAGGGAAAGTTACCAACCAATCACCTTGTGTCTTGTCAATATGTAGTGATGTGATTGGCTGATGACAACTGGCCAGCACAGGTGCAGCAAAAAGCATGGAATGTAGGCCGATACACCAGGGTTGTTGCTTGATGTATACAAGCATTGGGCTTGGCTTGAGAGGATGAGATTTATCAGATTGGGAGTGTGCCATCGTGTGTGAATGTTTCTCCATTGTGCCCCCCTCCCCCTCTCCTTTCCATCTTGTTCATGACTCAAATCATATCGGGTTTCAGGGGTCGGCCGAGGGCAGTATCGTGGAGGACGACGAGGTCAAAGGTAAACCACGTTCCTTCCTTACTGGTTTATAGTTTAAAGTTCAAAGTTACCAAGTAAAGCAGACAAACCTACATGAACCTAAGGCCACACCAATATTATTTATTGCTTGTGAACTGAGACATGGACATTAAAAATAGCAAAAAGTCTGTATCTTTGTTCACACAATTCCATAGCCCTTGGTTACTGTCCTTGGTGCTGATATCCATAGTGCTGTTATAAGTCTCTTTACGACGGAAAACGGCATCTTACACTATGCATATGTAGCTGTGCAGCAATCCAACTTAGGAAGGGTACACATACATCATACATATATATGTGCTGTACCTACTAATTGTTATACTTGTTGTTTACATCTTACATGTTGGAATTTCTACTCCAGTACACAATCCAGCCAACTTATTTTAACAGCATCGCAAAAACCAAAAGACCTAAGTGGTAGAAGTACTTGTAAATCTTCATCGGTGTTTCTGTTTCAGCTCGTAAGCAGGAGATCATACGGATGACAGAGAACCTGATAGAGTGCATCACTAACGCTGACTACGAAGCTTACACGTGAGTCAGGCTTTTCTAGTACAATGCTGAACTTTATTCCAACACAAGGACAGAAAAGAGGATAGTCACCTGCTATGACAATCCTTCCACAAATGTGGTAAATTTCAATAAATAAAAAAGTATGCCCTAGATCAAATGAAGATGGATACCTTCTCTATACACCAAAAGGTTGAATGGATATTAAATAATGAGTGTACTGTGATATTCACTAATGATGACTATGTAGCTTACACTCAATAAGTCAGTCTTTTCTAGTACACAAGGGTACAAAAGGATCAAATTTTCAACTTCCACTGTACGCCTTTATCATGGCCTAGCCTCTTGAGAACATGAGACCTGTTTAGCTCTTCTGGCCTCCCCTGCCTCCTTGCAGAGTAGGGGTAAATAGGACTATGATTATGTAATATGTGATTTATTGTGTTTTTACAGTAAGATCTGTGAGCCAGGGATGACGGCATTTGAACCGGAGGCTCTCGGCAATCTGGTGTATGGCATGGACTTCCATAGGTTCTACTTTGAACACGGTAAGACTTTCTTGCACAATTCCTTTAGTATTTAGCTGACACAAGTAATACTAGTAGTTTAAGTAATACAATGCAGGTGATAAAATCCAAATATCTCTTTACAAGCGCTACCTCGGTAGCTATGTGCATACTAGAAAATTCACCAATGTTAGAAACCCTACGTGTATGTATACAATGTTAGAAACCCTATGTATGATATAATGCTGATAACTTGCATATGATTGTATAATCCTACATATGTATATGTATATCATTGTTAATTTTGACTCTGTATCTTATTAATTTTATGTACACCTAACGATTCTATTGTCTCCCAGGTTGACCCTTAACAATAGTCTACGACTAGTTGGGCAACCCTGGCTGTTGTAAGCCGAAGTAATAAAAATCCATGTATTGATTTTTTTTTCATGTATCCAGCGCTGACGAAGAACAGCAAAGCAACCAACACAACGATTCTCAATCCTCACGTGCACCTTCTAGGAGAGGATGCAGCTTACATAGCCTATATAAGGCTAACACAGTGTATTGACAGGTAAGATGGCCCACACAATGGACCTATACCATTATTACGTCACAGTTTGTTTACCTGTTCTAAAGAACATTCTAGAACGGTCAGTTAAAGAATAAAGATCATGTCAAAGTTTTCAAAGTAAGGTACAGTTGCATGCAAAATTATTCAACCCCTCTTGTATTTTGGGGAATTTTGCCAAAATAAGGAAAATTACAACTGTAGAACATCCCTAACTCATGTAAGTGATTAACAGATAGTTTATTACAATTTAATATCAGAGAAAAAGTCAATATTATTTCATAGTTCATCTGAAATGGCAACTTTAACACAAAAAGCAGGTGGCAAAATTATTCAACCCCCTACGAGGAATCCTCTAGAAATTCGTGCACCACCCCTGTAACTGCAATGGCCTGTTGCAGACGGGAACGATAGCTTGTCATGATATTCTGGCAATGCTATTTGGGGATTTCGGCCAATTCCTTGTTGGCAAATATCTCCATCTCAGCAATGTTCTTAGGTCTTCCTGCTGCAACAGCTTTCGTCAGGTCTCACCACAGATTCTCAATTGGGTTTAAGTCAGGAGACTGCAATGGCCACTCCAGGACCTTCCAGCCTTTCTTCTCCAACCAAGCCTTCATGGATTTCGATGTGTGCTTGGGTTCGTTGACTTGCTGGAATGTCCAATGACGCCCCAGCTTCAACTTCTTCAAGGACTTCCTGACTTTCTTGGCAAGAATATCATGATATTCTGTTGAATCCATGATGCCGTCAACATGGTGGAGTTTCCCCAGTACCATTAGAAGCAAAACACACCCACAGCATCACAGACTCACCGCTATGCTTCACGGTAGGCAGGGTGTTCTTCTCTGCGTATGTCTGGATCCTCCTGTGCAAAACAAACCTCTGATCCACAGGACCAAAGAACTCAAGCTTTGCTTCATCAGCCCATAGGACAGTGTCCCAAAAGTTCTGTGGGTTTGACAGGCTGGCTTCAGCATCCTGGAAGCAACTTTTCTTGTGGCTTAGCTTCAGCAGCAGTATGCATCTTGGGGTTCTGGCATTGAACCCTTCAGCATGAAGTGTGCAGCATGCTGTACCGCCTGAAACATCACTTCCTCCTCCAGCCAAGTTGTGTCTCAGGTCCTTTGCAGTAAGCCTGGAGGTTTTGTCCACCTGTTTTCTCAGGAATCTTGCTGTTGCTGATAAAATATTCTTCTTTCGTCCACCACCTGGCTGTGTGGCCACAGTACCGGTTGCCTTGAACTTGTGAAGAATGCTCCAAATGGCGTCTCTGGGAACATTAAAGAGCTTGGATATCCTCTTATATCTATTACCTTTATTGTGTAATGCTACTATCTCCTATTTAAACCTCTGGGACAACTCTCTTGCCTTCACCACTTTGCCAGCAAGAGGCATGTGAGCAGTAATGACACAAAGCGTGTAATACTACACATTTGGTGGAAAATTACACGATGATACAAATACTATGGACATGCACATCTTACCTCATTGCATTACTAGTGTTTTTGGATGTGGCATGTTAGTTGTGATTCTGCATAATCAACCCTAGCTGATGAGTTGTATAGGGGTTGAATAATTTTGCCACCTGCTTTTTGTGTTAAAGTTGCCATTTCAGATGAACTATGAAATAATATTGACTTTTTCTCTGATATTAAATTGTAATTTACTATATGTTAATCACTTACATGAGTTAGGGATGTTCTACAGTTGTAATTTTCCTTATTTTGGCAAAATTCCCCAAAGTACAAGAGGGGTTGAATAATTTTGCATGCAACTGTATGTCTGATTTTTGCTGCGTCTAGTTGTGTTGACATGACATTACATGCCGCATGGGTGATTTAGTTGTGACATTAGACGAAAGTAGTACTGTACATGTATTATAAGCCTTATATAAGGCTAAAGCTCCACAAACACACACCGCGCTACGCACCCCTGTACAATATAGACGTCAATTGACCGGCATTTATTGCGGTAAACAAACTGTGACGTAATAATGGTATAGGTCCATTCACTTTGGCAGTACGTACTGCACCTGCGTGTAACTCGTAATGTATTGTGCATAGCGCTAATGTGTTGTGCGTAGCGCTTAGCTTCGGCAGAACATATACTAGTACTTTAGATCATGTTCGCATGTTGAAGTTTCTAAATGTTGTGTCGCAAAAGATATTTTTCTGCAACAAATATCCAATGAAAACCGTGAAAAATTCAGTTTTTGTGTTGACCCTTACCTCTTCCCTCGTGACCTCAATGAAAAGCAGCCTGCATGCCAAGTTGAGCTTTCATGAATAAAGAACAGTTCAAACAACCTGATGCCTGTTGTCCTTTCTGAAATTGTATGCCAGTTACACTGTGTTTCAAGCTTTTAAGCATCTACACTTCCTGAAGTGCAATTTTTTTCAATAGGGTATATAGTTGATTCAATTTACTAAGAAAAGAAATGGCCAGAAAATGGCTTTGCTAACAATTCTCTAGTGTCACTGACGGAAGCTAGTGGATGCTACCTGAAACGTCTGATCATTTTCAAAATCATATCCAGTTGCTTGAGTAACAGTTTTTTTGCGTATCCTATTACCTGGATGTCTAACCTTCACCACATGCCAGAAAATTTATTTTTTTGTATGGTCCTAATGTTACACAATGCAGCTTTAATGTAGAATGGATGAAGTAAAGTTGTCCCAACTCTTAATGCTCATTGTCTTAATTTCCAGGAATGGAAAGAATTGTGAAACGAAATGAAATTGTTTTTGACATATCTTATTACCTGGATGTCTAACCTTCACTGACAAACTTCTAATGCCCGTTGTCTTTCCAAGAATGGAATGTGTAGAATGGATGAAATAAAGTTGTCCCATTGTCTGTACTTAGAAAAGAAATGGCCAGAAAATTTACTTTTTGTATAGTCCTAATGTTACATAATGCAGCTTTAATGTAGAATGGATGAAGTAAAACTGTCCCGTTGTCTTTCCAGGAATGGAATGCCAGTAACGCTGCAGTTTTACAGCCCTGAAATTGCATTAGATGCCTTTAATGTCGAATAGAAAGTAAAGTTGTTCCTACTCTTAATGCCTTTGTCTTTCCAGGAATGGAATGTGTAGAACGGATGAAATAAAATTGTCCCGTTGTCTTTCCAGGAATGGAATGCCAGTAACGCTGCAGTCAGAAGAGACGCGTGTCTGGCAGAAGCGGGACGGCAAATGGCAGTGTGTGCATTTCCACCGCTCAGGTTCTCCCAGCTGCCCCGCCAAGTAGCCCCTCACCGAACCCGTCTTAGTGTCAAGTATAAAAACCAACTGGTCACCATCTAAGTAAAACTTGTTCCTTCATGCAGCGTCATTTCATCCGTATCCAATGGCAGGCGAGGAGTTCCATCTCGTACTTGCACTGTGTGGGTAAAAATGCATCGCCTTGCATTTCAGGTCGGCAGTCCCACGATTCAGTTATAAACGTTCTCCGATTGGTTTGATTGTGAGGATTTCTCTTACTAGTTTCGTTGCCCGTCGTTCTTGTATTGACGCGGGCCAGCTCTCTCTCTCTCTGAGCTGTTTTAGTTTGCCAGGAAGGATGGCGGAAGTGACTCGAAAGAAAAAACATGATGAAAAAAAGGGACAAAATAATTGCCTGTCGGAAGGTTTGAGGAGGGAGTTTTGTTGCCACGGCAACTCGAGGCAGCCGGCCAGGGGCCAGAGGTTGAAGGTTAAAGGGCAAAGGACTCGCAGACAGAGTGAGTGCCAGTGGTTGGTAGGTAGATAAACAGACGTTGCTGCAATGGGAAACAGAGGCAAGACTGGTGGAGACACGCAGTCGTTTGCCTGATTTTGATCTCGTTTTTAATGACGAAATAACTTACGATGAGGAACCAGAGATAGGGTTATGATTTCGCGACGCTTTTAGCGTCCGTCCCCACGATACGAGTTCTCGTGGCGGAGAAAGTTGCATGGACTTCTTCAGTTGGAGTTTAAACAAGATTTTAGGAACACTGCTTTTAATAGGTGAAGATTTTATGATGACTTCGGGCTGTTCTGGCCCAGCTTAAAGAGTTGAGGTGGAGGGTCGACGTACCCGAACCTCACTGCATTTCTGGGTCATTCATTGTGAAATAAGATACAATAATCAGCACAAACTACTTGTATTTGATCTTAACCAAACCAACCTAACCAACTCTAGCTAGCCGTGCGTAGTGTGAAGTCAAGTCATAGCATTTTGACATCAACTTTTTTCTAACGATGCAAGCCACTAACTAATTCCTGAACGAATCATTGGTTATTGGAAATACGACTCAATTTTCGTGCTGGACCTTCTACGAAATGGAGAAAGAGCGTTTGTTGGTGTACTTGGTGTCAAACTTTGCCAACTTGTCGTGTATATGTAGTGGAGTAGAAAGTGTGCTAATTTTCTTGGTAGGTAGCATGTGCCCTTGTATGTATTTTGCTGCAATATCAACTATCTAATAGATAGGAAACATTTCTGGTTAATGAAGTGCAAAGGGGCAAAGTTCAGAGGTCAACTGTCATGAGCTTTACCTGTGCAATTTGGGAAAACTTGTTGAACTAAGTGAGGCCAACTTGAGATATGCTCTGACTATAGGTAATCTACATCACATTGTATCAAACTATAGGAAATTAAGGAACATTACCACACCATATTTGGGAGAAAAAAAAGAAAGACTAGCTACAAGTTTGATTATGCATCATGTAGAATATGGAAGTCTAAAGACATTTCTCGATTGTTTGTCTATATTAACGGAAGTTTGTAAACAAGCTACTAGAAAAGCATTTCTGGCTTCAAGAGTGTAAATATTTTGGTGCAGTACTGACCTTCAAACACCTCATTTTTTAAAATTTATTTATTAATTTTGTATAATTAATTTTACACGGATTGATGATCTACGTGTAGCTCACCTACATCTCACATTCAGGTACATTTTAACTTTCACCCGAATCACTTGAAGCGTAGGAATTCTTTTCTAGTCAGCTGCCTCTGTGCTCTAGGTATGTAGGTATGTTAATTTATGATAATTATTATCACATCGCAATGCTGCTGATGTTTCTGTATACCAATCCTGCGTACTCATTCTTTCCACATTTCACTCGTCTGAAAAATTAGGAAAAAAAAAACTTTCCGATGGTCAACTTCTTGGCTCGGAATGAATTGAACCTGGAGACGTCCTTAAATGATGTTCTTCAAGCTGGGAAGATTTTGTATATAACAAAAGGAAAAGGTCTAACGTGATGTACTGAGACGTTTATTAATTACATGTAGTGACAACTTTAAATAAGAATCTGTCTAACAAAGAAAAACTCATGTTTGGTTGTTGAGCGCTACTAGTATTAAACTTTGGTGATGCGACAATAAGGAAAACTATGAAGAAATATATAGATCTCGGATGGGAAATGCTTTCAATGCAGGCGTCTTCGAACTATGTTTCAAAGTTGGTCAGTTTTCCAAATACACACGTCATAATCTCTCTTCCCAATCTGAATCCAAATTTGGGCTTTGCGGAAAACAGAAAATTAAAGCTGTACCGGTATTTCACACGGTCTGTTAAAAGCGATGACAAAAATAATGTGCCAGAACTGGATTTTCAACCATTGAATAGTTGTCTTTTCTTTTAAAAGAGTACACGTACTGATGTTTAAACTTAATCTTATTACTCAATCTCTGTAGCTAGACGATAAAAATTCAGCTATATCATGAAGGTCATAGCATTCACTAAGAAACAAGTACTGAACTGTGCTTGCCTGATATTTCAGAAGGGAACGATGTTTGTAAATTGATAGGGAAGAGATCGGTGACTTCTTGGCAGCTTCCGTCATCTTTTGTTGCTGTTTGGTTTTAAATGTCGTTTCTGTTGATCTTGAAGAACTTAAAACTGCTCACGAATAGATGCTCTTTGGAGGTGGTTGCAGACAGTCAAAGCAATACCTTCTGACTTACTTTGACTCTTAAATGCCAACTTTCTTGGTTTGTTTTGAGAGAAAGTGGCCGAGAAACTTAGCACATATTTTCCCATCCTGACAAGTCTAAACAAGTCAAGACTGGCTTTCAGTACTGTATAACCGAACACTGAGTGTAACCAAAGTTTCAGTTGAAGCTACCAAAGCTGTAGACCCTTGCTGTAAAGAATCTACCAATGTGAAGCTGACCTAACAACATTGTTAGTGTATCGCTGAGTCAATTTCAAAGGAAATACTCCCTCGAGCAACAGGCCATGTTTGCTCCGGATGTTTCCAAGTTGTGAATAAGAAACTGAAACTTCTCCTGTATTACACAGCTATTAAACAGAGGCAGGATGAATCAACCAATCATCAAATGTTTTACAAAACAACAGACCAATCACAGATTAGCTTCTTCTGTCATTAAGGCTGGACGTCTCCAGTACATGGTTAGGCAGAAACTCTTTGTTTTGTTTCCCGGGCAGTAGTCTGTATAATACGCAGAGACGTAGCTAGCAACATTTGTCCAGTATAGTGAGTAGTATGGTAGTCAGGTGTAGACTTTTACTGTTGCTGCGAAAATTGGAACATACTTAATGTTAATAGCACTTTTAGATGTCTGACATTCAATACTTCAATAAACTGGAGGTTTACCAGTCCAGCTGGTGTGTGCTTATTCATGTCTTTGTAAAATGTGTAGATAGACTTAACATATATATAGAATACTAGGGCTTGAACCACTTCTTCAGCATATCTTCAGGTAACATTGAAAATTACTAGAACCTGCACCAGACAAATGTTACCTGCACTGCTTAGAATTTAGGAGGTTTAAACTTATTTCCAACACAACAACTTGGACTTACTCAAAGAATGGAGTTGTACAGTCAAAAAGTCCAATTTCTTGTGTTGGAAATTACAGTTTAAACTTCTGGCATAATGACGTGAATCAACACAGATGAACTTTCAAGATAATATTCTTTATTTTGGATACTCCTTCAACTTTTATATGGGATGGTCAGTGGTTTAAGGTGTTACAACTGCAATTCCTAGTTTTTATCTAGGTGGCGCTTTTTTGCTCTACCTGGCAGCTGCAGCTCCTAGTTTCCTGAAGGTTTTATCTAGGTGGCGCTGCTGTACCTGATGTTTTTCGTCACAGCTGCAGTTCCTAGTTTCTGGATAGTTTTATCTAGGGGGCACTGATGTTCTTCATGACAGCTGCAGTTCCTAGTTTCCGGATAGTAGTTTTATCTAGGGGGCGCTGTTGTTCTACCTGACAGCTGCAGTTCCTACAGTCATATCTAGGGGGCGCTGATGTTCTACCTGACAGCTGCAGTTCCTACAGTTTTATCTAGAGGGCGCTGATGTGCTGCAAGATCCAGTGCTTCATGGCGGGGACGTTGGTGTAGACTCCGGGCCTCCCCGGCCTGGCGCAGCCCTGACCGAAGCTGGTCACGCCGTACACAAACCAGTGACCGTCAGACGCCTCGCAGACTAGCGGCCCGCCGGAGTCACCCTGGGGAAACAATGCATAAGATTCAAATCAAAGCTGTGCTTATGAATAGTTGTGAAGTACCCTAACACACCAGCTTCTGTATCTGTAGAGCCGGTATAACCGCCCTTCAGCGTAACACACCAGCTTCTGTATCTGTAGAGCCGGTATAACCGCCCTTCAGCGTAACACACCAGCTTCTGTATCTGTAGAGCCGGTATAACTGCCCTTCGGCGTAGCACACCAGCTTCTGTATCTGTATACTATTAGCCGGTATAACTGCCCTTCGGCGTAGCACACCAGCTTCTGTATCTGTATAGCCGGTATAACTGCCCTTCAGCGTAACACACCAGCTTCTGTATCTGTAGAGCCGGTATAACCGCCCTTCAGCGTAACACACAAGCTTCTGTATCTGTATAGCCGGTATAACTGCCCTCCGGCATAACACACCAGCTTCGCAGGCGCACATTCGCGATCACAGCTGGCTATGTAGTATATTACACCTTACCTTTGAGCATCTTTCAGCAGCTGTCTAGTAATGATGCTAACTGTACTTGGTGACAGTGAGTTCCAGAACGATAGTTCTAGGACAAAAATGAGTTCTTGAACACCTCAATCCTTGGTTGATAACTCTGGTACTTGAGGGCATGACTATTTCTTGCACAATCTGTACATTTTTCGCCTGTCTTCCAAAGATGCCCACTGTGGTTTTATTTTCATTTCCGTGACACTAGCACCCCTTTCATAGTTGTTAATGGCAGATACCTGGCAGGCGTCCACGCCTCCCTCGTCCCTCCCGGCGCACACCTGAGTGGTGATGGGGTCCGGCAGGAGCGCGTCACATCTGTCTGTGTCCACTAGCGGCACCTCCGCCTCCTGAAGCACGTCAGAGGACACAATATCTGAGGGCAGAGACGGGTGGAGTGTTACACATGACATGTACACGTATCTTTATCGGTATAGCCAGTATAACCACCCTTCGGCGTAACACACCAGCTTCTGTATCTGTATAGCCGGTATAACCGCCCTTCAGCGTAACACACCAGCTTCTGTATAGCCGGTATAACCGCCCTTCAGCGTAACACACCAGCTTCTGTATCTGTATAGCCGGTATAACCGCCCTTCGAGGTAACACACCAGCCTCTGTATCTGTATAGCCGGTATAACCGCCTTTCGGCATAACACACCAGCTTCGCAGGCACGCGGCCCGGCGGCAGCTAGCTATATCACACCGAACGGCGTGTTACACTCAATCTTGTAGCTCATATAACAACTAGCCTAACGTCTGAGGACACAATATCTGAGGGTAGAGAGGGGTGGAAAGGAAAGGGAAGTGAGTTTGATCAGAGACTGTGTATAATGTCCTTGGTTTGATCCAATCTTGAAAGTTCATTTGTGTTGGTAGAAGCAAGGACATTATACACACATTGGTAGACATGGTAGAAGTCATTATGCAGCAAGTTTAAACTGTAATTTCCAACACAAGAAATTTGACTCACCCAAATTTTCGACTGTACATTCCTTGACAAAGACTGGAGTTGTACAGTCGGAAATTTGGATGAGTCCAATTTCTTGTGTTGGATATTGCAGTTTAAACTTGCTGCATAATGTTTTTGATCCAGTTTTAGCCCCTGAAGAGCGAATCTTCCACTGGTCGTGACAGAAGACAGGCACTATGTGCAGTGCAATGAACAGCTGTGTACCACAGCTTAACGTCCTGTCCTAAGGACTGCGACCCTTTACCATAAAAAGTTGCATAAAAAGTTACTAAAATCCGGCGGATCATGCAACTGTCTAGAGAAAGCTTTGCACGCCCCCTAGCGGCCCATCCAGTTACTGCACGTACTATGTGTCTTGTATCCTGCAGAAGCTTTGGCTGCTGAAAGAGTAGAAATTGACCAAATTTCACAGGAATCAAGATTGAAAGCGCATTGCTCGAGAACTAGAAGCATTAGCCTGGTTACCAAACCTATTATAGCTCCCGAGTCCTACAGCCTATTTGCGGAGAGACTGTAGGACTCGGGAGCTATAATAGGTTTGGTAACCAGGCTATAAAAGCATACCATCAGGCCCCGTCGGCTCCACCAAATTGCCCCACCCCGCCACCACACAAATGGTTCCTTCCGGGAGGGTGAGTTCGCTGTCCGGCAGGCACACGGGCGCCACCCAGCGGTTTAGCGTTGCAGGTACAGCCAGGCGGAGCAGCGCGATGTCGTTGTGCCACGTCGTCCTGTTCTCCCAGCTAAAGTCGTTCCGAATGAGCTCAGCAATAGGAATGGCCTGGGTTAAACACAAGTCAACGAGACACAGTTTAAGGCACTATTGGCCATTTGGGTCCAAGATCGCTATGAATTGGCCACTACTAGTATATTGTATAGGGTCCCCGGAGACGGGGCCTGAAACCCATGGTTTGACTTTGAGTGATCTTATGTTTTATGCGACCTATAGTAAACTCGAAGTTTAAAAAGATAGCGTTTTAGTCTGATTTTTGTTACGCGCATTATTATTAAACTTCGGCCGTGTTGCCGTAACCAATGAGTTTTGAAAAACGGTTGAGTTTTGTCATATACCTGTTCGGTCCCGTCTTCTTCACTCAGACGGTGTTCTCCCAACACTGCGTACAAGCTTCGCCAGTCTCTGCACGGAAAATATCCATTTTGTTAGACACAAATTGCCATAAAAGTTCATCCATGTTGGTAGTTACATGTTTAAAGTTAAAGCTTTTGCTCCAACACAAGAGATTGTTCTCGCCTAGAGCTTTCGACCAGTCACTCTGGTCTTCTTCAATAGACTGACCCAGTGTTGACGTCAAACTTCAGAGAAGTTACGTGACGGTTCTCACTGGGTCAGTCTACTGAGGAAGACCAGAGTGACTATTGGAAAGCTCTAGGAGAGTGAGAACGTTTCTTTACGTTCAACAAAAGTTTTATCTTAATTCATGATACAAGTTGTGCATTGTGCACACAAAAATATACACGTGGGATAGTTGAAAGTGTAGATAACGTTAGCTGTCTTCAAAAAATGGGCAGACGGATTTTTTTCCGAGGATAACTCACATGCCGTCGAAACAGTGTGCCGCGGTGACGACCCACTCCTCGGAGATGAGCGCGCCTCCACAGCCGTGCCCAAGCTCTGGGTGCTGCAGGACATACAACAGAAAACACTGAGCCGTGACGGGGGTGACACAGACTCTTCATTTTCATTTCTTCGCATTTTATTCTTGTAATTGATTTTGGTGTTCTGCGACATCAGTATGATCGTTTACCAATATTTTTTTTTTTTGCAATTTACGGCATATATTTAATTATACGACAATAATAATAATAATTACAGTATGATCGACAACTTTTCTAGAAATGGAAAAATTAATGCGGATATCATCCATACAATCAATCAACACGGCTTAGGTAAGACAGTTTTAAGACAAGTGCCTTACCTGCAGTGACACCATCCATGGCCAGCTGCCAGCGGGCGCGTCGTGCCCACCCACAATCCTGTGCGAATCTTGATCGGTCAGAGTGGAGCGAACCGCGGGAACACCGCACGTCTGGTCTGTACGTGTAAGACAGTATCATTATTACGTCTGCAAGTACCCCGACATGTCATCTACGCAAATCGTTTAATCAACTATGTGATAGTTTGCGTCGACGATGTAACGGTTTGCGACCCTGTATTAAAGTGCGACGTCAAAAAAGGACTGACTGGCAACCTGCAGCTGTAGTTTAGACTTGGCCTCTAAAGCGCCTGAAAAGAGTAGAAATTGGCCAAATAGAGAGAAAACACGCCGGGGGAGTTAGTCTGCTAGAGAATACAGTTTGCCGCTCCTTTAGGAGACCAACATCGGGAGGGGCAAGCTGTACTAATGTACTAATTGGCTCGGGGCCGAAATATACCATACCCTCTCCCTTGTTATGTCTATTAGGCCACACCAAGTAAATTTTATGGATGACGTCCGCGCGCGCATTGATTTTGGCCTGTTCCTAGAAAAAAAAACAAGAAATTCCGCTTCCTGTATTAAACTATGACCAAAGAGTCACGACAGTGCCGCAAATAGGTTTGTACGGACCAAAGCATCAAGCAAGGAAATCATGACTTCCATAAGGAATTCAGTTTGGTACATGCTGCCACATTTGAAGAAACTTGCTGACCGCTCCATCTATCTCCCCAAACTCACAGGACGACAACTGCTGTTCCACCTGATTTATTGCTGTTTTGATGATGAATAAAAGACTTCTTGCTTGTTACACTGTGTCACCTCATTCAAATGGTGTCCAAACATTTGTCGTCTCTTAGTATATTTCTAATCTAGGCATCTTGTTTTTTAGGGCCCTTCTTGCTTTTTTTTCGCCCTCTCGCATTAGATTTAGGGTCTCCAAAGGACGTCATCCATAAAATTTACTTGGTGTGGCCTTAGGCCGATTTTCACACATTCCAGCCGCTTCCCAAAGCCTGGTAGAGGCTAGTATAGACTCGTCATACCCCATTGAGTGACTGCCAACATGTCGAACATGGATCATACACTCGTACCTGGCTGCGGCTCCGAGACGCAGAGCGGCCTGAGCGCCCAGGGCCAGTTGCAGACGCGGCGGCGGGGGTCGTAGTGCAGGTCGCCCGGGCAGGTCAGATGGAAGGGACGGCGGCCCGGTACACACTGGTAGAACCGCTGGCAATCGTACCGGTCAGGACGGCTGCCGTAACCGCGACAGATGGAATCCGCTGTAAAAAAAACAGTTAGATACATTGTATTTATCTTTCATGGCAGGATTTAGGTTTATATATTGTTAATATCAGCTCAGCTGCCAGGGCTTCCACTGTATTGCAGTGTTCGCAATCTAAATAAATAAATATATTGTTTATGCTCAATTTCTTCTTTTCTCCAAGTCAATGCCTTGGACCAGACGTCTGTCACCATGGTAACTGGTGCTGTGGTGTTGGGTTACATTATGTAGCAGCACAGAGTTGGTATATATAGAACCACCGGTAGTCCGGTACCGGTCAGGACGGCTCCCATAACCGCGACAGATGGAATCCGCTGTGGTGGTACAGTTTATTTTTATAATTTTTAAAGTTAGCTAATTATCTTTCAAGGCAGTATTTATTATGTATACAATATGTTTTGTTTTTTTTTGCTCAATTTCTTCTTCCTCTTCTACAAGTCAGTGTCCTGGACCAGACGTCTGCCACCATGGTAACTGGTGTGTAGCAGACACCCTGTGGTGTTGGGCTACATTATGTAGCAGAACAGTGTTGAAGAGGCTCCTCCCCATACATATATTCGAGTATTTCAGCGAGTGGATCATGCATCTGATGGTGGTTGACGCCATCGACCGAAAATTCATGGTGAGTCTTTCTTTATTGTGTTGGAACCAAGGCACCAAACCTTTGTAACTATGGATTCTACCAACAGAGATGAACTTTCATTCAAGTGCTGAATATATAATGACAATGACAATTAAGTCTATTGCATATCTATGCCCCAGTGGGGCTAAATGCACTACTTTAGTTACAAATAAGGATTAGGCAAACTGTGCTATGTTCTATCTATATCTAAGCTGTACATGTTTTCTCTCTTCCTTAGACACTCGTATACGAATTTACAAAGTTTTTCTAATACATCATGGTTAGCTGAAGTCAATATTTGTATGAATATATCATCCTATATTAATATGAATGTATCAGCTATATATAGTTGTCCCCAAACATTGAGTGTACATAGCTTAATCTGAAAAGTTGCAACCCATTCTATCTTTAATGTCAAGGTCAAAAAACAGTGAGAAAGAACTCACCTATGTCGCCAGGGTCAGTGCTCGCTGTCGGGTGACCCGAGACGCCGTTACCATGGGAACCGGTCGTCAGTCGGTCCATGACGTCATCACCAGGCAAACTTGCCGCGAGCTGGCCGATGACGTCATCACTGGGCCAGCGCTCGGTCGGGAGTCCATGGACGTCTGCAGGGTATTGAAGGTTTTTATTGTTTGAACAATTATGTTCGTTTTATTGATGAATTTTCACAAAACTGACAGGAACGCTCACATTTTTGCGAACATTGTTGGGGAAATAATCTCCAATATGTGTGGTCATATTGACCACCTGTATCCATTGGCCTCCAGTAACTACGGGGCCGCAAATGGATCCAGGTGGCCAATATAGGTGGTCTTGCACCACAGAATCTGCTTGGAGACCAGGGAAAAAACCGCAGGGATCAAGGTCCAAAGTCTGCGAATGTTTAGCCATGTAGTACTTTGTGTCAAGTTTGCCACCTTCTACAGATCTTATCGTTTGTGTGTTTCCTAATTAACACAGCAACACAACATAACACGTATAACAAATACACGGTACGTCTGATACATACAGACACAGTTTACATGGTGACTGATACAAACATTTCACACAGAAAACGCCCAACCCATGTTCTCGTTCTAGATACTTTCCAAAAATATCATAGTATGGAAGTCTGGCAAAGGGTCGCTACTAAGAAAATGACATGTTTTATGGTTACGAAGATAACCCATGTTCTCGTTCGTTCGTTAATTCGTTTATTTATCTATTTAACCAGGGATACATATTACCCCAAAGGGCACTTTTCAATGTGCATGGAGGGTAAAAATACAATATAAAGTAAGTGATGAATGAATAATCTTATATTCAATCAAGGAGCAAATTGAAATATGGTAACTTTATGGTAAGAAAGAACTTAGCGAACTTTCCGAAAATATCCAATAGTATGGAAGTCTGGCAAAGGGTCGCTACTAAGAAAATGACATGTTTTATGGTGAGTTTCAGCCCCTTTAAATATTCTGAAAGACTTTTCTTGCCACTCTGGAATTCTCATCGGAAGTTTGACAACGTATAGGAGACACTGGTGACTTCCAAGCGATTTTTACATGAAGAACAGCGTGAACAATCGTTAAAGGCACCCAAAGCGATTTTCTGATCATTTTTAATGTGGTTAGTTGAATCAATGAGTTAAGTATCACTTTATTGCTCATTTTAACCTCCTTGGTTGAATCCACCCTATCCCACAGCGTACTGATTTGATTTGATTTTGATTTATTGAAATTGCAACACCGCAATACACGCGGAACAGAGGCAGCTGTTGCTGGTGTTGTGTCCCGCACATAGAAACGAATACTGGACAGACAATACTCATTTTCACTTGAGTCTAGTGGGGAAAGTCGTGTAAAGTGCCTTTCTTGATTCCGAGTCGCGCACGCTGCCGTTGCGCCACACGACCCCATGATATGTCAGAAGCAAGCATGCGATGTCGTTGACCGAAAGAGCAACGTCCATGGTTCAAATGTTTAAGGAACAAAGTCTGTGAAAGTTTTGTTACCTTCGTCCCTCGCTATTTGAAGGTGTGTTTCCTGTTACACATATACAGGGCGTGAGTAGAAGCGGCTTACATGGAGACAGATACAAACACATAGGAACGGTCTGCCAGAGTTTGGTCAGCTTTGTTTGTACAAGGCGATTTTTTTCAAACCTCTTTTGTTTGTATTGAGTCGTCGTATCGTCCTGTTCAAACCTGTACACTAACACCTGGTATTATTTGCGTGTTTCCTACAACAGAGTGTGCGTTAGGCACGGTCTACATGGGAACAGGTATAAACATACCATCACAATACTGCCCAACCCAAGTCTTGCTGATCATACCCCCTTTCCAGAGTGTTTGCATGTGGGGCGTTTTCTGTGGATCGCAGAGTGCCATTTTAATTCACCGTTGAGAGTAACTTGCTTAATTCAACGTTATTAGTAAGCGTTGTCGGTAAAGTCTCCGTGAAGTGTAATAGGTCGCTATAAAATTCAACGTATTACGTTATTCATAATCCTGAATTCATCGTTAAACGTCCTTAAAATATTTTTCGTCTGGCGTAGTCTTAAACTTTATTGCTCAATATAAAAAAAAGTAAATAGGCAGGGAGAGCGTAGTCACAAACTAGTTTTGTCACAGACACACCACAATGCAAACGAACAATCCAATGAAGTGAGTACAGTCTTACACAAGAAAAAACTTAATTCACAGTTTAGAGTTGCCGTTGCCGATTATATCTTCGTACAATTCCAATGTGAGTACCAAATCCCATGTCTAGTTGATTCTTAGGTAGAAGTGACATCTAAGATATAAGTACACCAAGATGAAATATCGCCATATATTTCGCAATGCTGAATGAAATAGAACTCGGTACAGTTAACCTGGATACCGTTTGCGTTATGTCTATACACAGTAATAATCCTCCATGGCAATCATATCCCAACAAAGTAGGAACGCAGTGAACTAGACTTACATGGCATCCAGGGTGATATGATCAAACTATTGTACAAAATTAACGGCCATAGATGGAATACAATGTATCTTCAATTTTTACGCTAATCGTAGATCGAAATAAGCTGAAAATATGAACTAACTGTACCTTATTGAGAGTTAGTATACAGTTAATATTGTTCGTTGTGATTGTTGTCTTACTCTTCACATTTTCTAATTGTTGTGCAATACAGTTGTTTGGTTGACACTCAACAGTGGTATTATATTTATTGTGTTGATCTAAGCCCTGCCGATTACTTGGAAACTGAAGTAAACACAAAACAGCCGAATGCCGGAAATAGCGGTCCTGTATCTTGTATCTGGGCGTCGGTTGAGATAAGTGTTTTATTTAGATTTCCGTTGCTTACAGAGTCTAACATAGGCGTTGTCCTGTGACGAAATTACTCTCCAAGCAGAGATTTTGGTTTTGGCTTATTTTTGGCGTGTTGCTAGGCTTTTTATTGTACTGGTATCTTTTTTGTTGGGCTGGCACAAAAAAAGATACGATGTCGGTACAAAAAAAAGAAAGCCAGATATAAAAGCCTAGAAACAGGCCAAAAATAAGCCAAGGCCCAAACCCCTGCTTGGAGAGTATGACGAAACCTTCTGACGAAGTTTAGTCTCTCTACCAGATATTTAGTCTGAATTACTGACAGTACCTTATCATTATATTATAAGCTGTGAAAGTCACGCCACATTAACATTGAAATCGAAGTAATTTTTGCCTATTGAAAAAGCCCATAACATCTGTCAATCATCTTGAAATGATATCCATGCTTCAGTTGCGTACGCCCATTGGTAACTGGTCCACAGAACCGTGGCTATATAGTTCCATGCCAGAATGGGTTAGGGTTAGGATCGGGCACGGTTCTGGATGGTTTCCGCGTATCCAAGAACGTACTAGATTTGCCCCAGGCACTGTTCTGGATGCGCTTGGACTATCCAGAACCGTGCCTGAGCATAGCACTGTACTCGATACAATACGCTGCATTCAACGAATAAACCTTGGTGGTACGTCAATGAAGGTTTATTCGTGTAACGAGATATACAATAAAACAGTTACTCAAGAACCAAAGTGGACAGATATTGAAAACTGTTTTCAAAATCTACCCAGTTGCTCGAGCAACTGTTTTCTTGTGAAACTTATGTGATGTTTCAAAGCAAAATGCACAAAAATTCCTGACTTGTGAGGGTTTCGCCATGGTTTAGTGTAATGTACAATAATCGTCCAGTAAGTCAACTCCTTTCTTAGCTCTGCAAACGTTCAAACCCGACTTATTCCTTCACGTTTGACACATCGGTATACACACCTGTTTGACAATACATCCAATTGTTGAACTTGGCTTTCATTACATGATTATTGTACACTTAATCTTAACTTTAATCCTCATTTAAGTCACAGAAACGTGACTTCAACCCTCATAGTTCCTTCGGATTCTCGAGCTCTAAGACCGATGTTGAAATTAAAGACGGTGTTGTCGAGGCCTTCTGAAGAATGACTGAACACCTGGATATTAAAATTTAGGTGAGTTTTTTTTTGTTGAAATTCGCTTTTTCTTAAAAGTGAGAGCGCCAATCTTTTGGGAGACCTGTGTAATTATAAGACTTGACGTTCATACTTTTTTTTTATTTATATGATTATCAAAGCGTGTATTTGAAAGTTACACGCAATTTTACTTACATATATGAAGGTTAGACATCCAGGAGATATAATAATGTTTTAATCAAATCTATACGTAAGCTGGTGCGTTACGCTAAAGGGGGTTATACCGGCTATACAGATACAGATACAGATATACATCGGGATACATATTAGAAATTCATTGACTATCTAAAATGCATCCAGTTCTAACGATTTAATAAAAACGTTATTACTTTTAACTTACCTCTGATATTCGCGAGCACCAGAAGAGCTACAACCGCTCCGGAGAGCAACAAGCCGAAAGATGTCATCCGAATTTCTCAAAAAACAGTAGCCGAGCGTCCAGATAGCAACCTCGAAAGTCTCTTCTTCTTTGCGCAAGTGAGATTTGTTTCATCACCAGCCGTCCGTCCCGGTGATTTAAATATCCGCAGCCTCCGCCCACTGTTTCCGTCAGGCCATGTTGATTTTATTATATGGATGACATCCTCTGGGAACCCCAAAACTGATGCAAGCGTGCGAATAAAAATGTTTAACAAAAAAAAAGTGTTGCTTTCATTATGATATCTATGTGGTTATGAAGGTTGAAACAGAGTATGGTATGGCAAATAATCTACTCTTCAAATTCTTTTTCCTTTGATTTTGGCATTCTACGACATTGATATCGTTTTCCAATATATTTATATATAGTATATTTTTGCTCATTTTGTAACTGTTCTGTACGATTTACAGTATGGTTGAAAACCAAGTTTTTTAGGGGGGGGCGTCCAAAAATTCATGCGCGCGTGGATGTCATCCATATAATCAAATCAACATGGCCTAATGTCCGTGCTGCGAAAGAGAGGAATCCTGCCCGGTAGTTCATTAGGATGCTGTCCCGGACTGTCAACACCGCTGTGAGTGGATTACGCTCCTGCTCATTAAAACGTCGTCTGTCAATCTCCGCGCTTCTGAGGCTCCATGGAAACCGGGCTGGCCAGATTTTGGATAGGTGATCTGT